AACTCACAGCAGGCACTCTGAAAGGCACAAAAGCATGCCAAATCTGAGGATCCCCACTACCACAGAAAACAGGAAAGATTAAACAAAGGGAAATCAGAACTCATTTTTAGGCCAGGAACAGTGGCTCAAGCCTGTAATCCCAGCTCTTTGGGAGGCGGAGGCGAAAGGATTGCCTGAGCTCAGGGGTTCGAGACCAGTCTGGGAAACCTGGTGACCTCGTCTCTACGATAAATCAAAAAATTAGCTGAACATGGTGGCACACACCTGTAGTTCCAGCTACTGGGAAGGCTGAGGTGGAAAGATCGCCTGAGTTCAGCAGGTCGAGGCTGTGGTGGCTGTGAGTGTGCCACTGCACTCCAGCCTGGGCAACATAGTGAAAATAAAAAACTCATCTTTAATCTCTATGTCCAAGCTGTTTCAGTGCCAAAACACCACCAACCAAAACACACACACACAAAATAGAGTCCAGAGGGCATGGGGCCTTAAAGATTTTTAATTACATATTTTTAATTCAAATGTTTACCTTCTTTGATCTAAAATCCCATTTTAGGAAAACAGAAATAACTTGAAGAAAAGGCTTACACACAAATATATCAATTTCAATCTTATTCATCAGAGAAAAATGGCAAAGAATTAAATCAATGGCACAGCCATGGATTGCCATATTACACAAGCTATTCATTGTATCTGATATTTTTAATTAGGAAAAACAGTTGCAAAAACATTAAGTGAAAAAAAAGTGAGCACATACAGTATGATTAGCAGGCTGAAAACGATATATTCTGGGGAGAATAAAAGACAGGAAAAAACACTATAAGGTTAGCACTGAAGGCCAATGGTTCTTAACCTCTGACCCGGGACCAACAGCAGCATCTGGGAACTTCTTGGAACTAGCTCCAAGTTCCCAGACCCCACCCTAAACCCACTGAATTAGAAAACTCCAGGGTGGGACCCAGTAACCTGTTGTAACAAACTCTCCAGGTGATTAATACCACACTAAAGTTTGAGACTCACCATTTAAAGGACAGGCTTATATGTGTGACTGTTTTCTTTCCTTTTTTTGTAAACTGTATTTTCCTCAACCATCTTACTACTTTCAAAATTCAACTAAGCTTTTTCTAAGGTATTTTAGCAAAATGTACACTCTGTGGGTCTGTAGGTAAAAAGTTATTACACAGCACATTTGTAATGTAAGGGCTGAACCCCATGTCTAAAAATCCAATGATTCCTGGACCCATCAAATCAAAGACTGAACAAGATACCACATTTTATAAGCATATATTAAATGCAGATCAAAGGGCTAAGAAAATTCCAACACTAAAAAATCTGATGAATCCAGGTTGTCCTAGCACAGGCACACAAATACGGAAAAAACTTGTATGGGTCACATCTGCAAAAGATTCTTTTCCCTAAAAGCTGAATGTTTAGGCTTGCGTGTAATCCACCAGCACTGCACTGCAGAAATCAGACGCTCTGGGGCTGAGTGCTCACTCACGTGGGCTCCTGCTTCACCCGTATGTTTTAAGTGCCCGTATGTTATATTTGTCACAAATCTAGGCAGGGAAGACAAATGCAGAAGGGGCAGTTGACAAATGCAGAATGGGCAGTTGCCAAATCTTTGACTTTTAGCCTGAAGACCATAAAACTGCTGAACTTTCATCTCATCATCTAACTAAAACAGAGGCCACTGGAAATAAAAGGAAAACCACAGGTTCCCAAATGACACTGGAGCCAGTTAAAAGATTATATAGAATTGTCTACACTTTGAACACAAAAAAAGAGAAACAAAGACCAATGTAGGGATAGAATAACTACTTATTAACAGCAAAATACCAGAGTAGTTTTGTTTTTTAGAGACAAGGTCTCACTATGTTGCCCAGGCTGGTCTGGAACTCCTGGCCTCACACGATTCTCTCTTCTTGGTATCCCACAGTGCTGGAATTTACAAGCCTGTGTCAGTCACTGTGCCCGGCTAAATACTAAATCTGAAGTCAAAGACAAACGGCTACACGTTTTAATGATTTTTGTTTTAATATCTACATTTTAAATAACAGAAATACATACAGACAATACAGACCCCCACACACAGGCCATCACATGAGCACTCCTCACTCTTTCTGCTCTGGAGAAGGCCATTCTACATGTAAAGACGAGTTCCTCAAAAAGCAAGGGGACAGACATGCACAGTGCCGACCCAATATGAACACTGCCCCGTCCTTTCTGATTTAAAAAATGTGTAACTAATGTAATAACTACATAAGCACCATGATCACCCACACCCAGTTTTTCACTACTGAACTCCCAGCACCAGGCCAGGCAGAAAGGCTGCTGTGGGGGATCTGCAGGCCTGAATCTGTTCTGGAAAGCTTCTGGAGCCCACAGCAGCCCCAGTGAGTCTGCTGCTCAGGAACCGGGCAAGACACTGCCCGCCCCACAAGCCCACCCTGCAAGCCTAAGGACGGCCGCCTCGGCCAGGCTTGGAGTCCAGGTCTGCGAGTCGGCCACGCCCTTCAAGCGGCAGCCCCGCCGTGCTGTGCTGCGCTCCCTCGCAGAAGGGAGTCTCTGAAAATCCCGGGCATGACAAGTCCCGAAAGCGCACGCTCTGGCTCCCGTGGCCAGGCCCACTCTCCGGACTCGGCCTGGTTTTCTGCCCTGCCTCGTCCTGCGGCAGGCCCAGGTCTCCCCAACCCCTCCTCCGTCGGGGCGCCTCCAAGCCCGCTCCGGGCGGCACTGGCCCCGGCCTCGGAGACCCCGCCCCTCGCCCTTTCCGGGTAGTAACAGGGCGGCCAATGGGCGCCGAGCAGCGGTGCCCGCGGCCCCTCCCGGCAAGCACGCCTCCAAAACAGGCCGCCTGCCCCGCCGGCCAGGCGGAAGGGGCCGCCGGGCTGGGCCGGAGAGCCGGCCGCCCCGCCAGGAAACCCGGGTAACCCGAGCCCTCGGTTCCCCCACCAGGAGAACTTGAACCGACGTTCCTCTCGGGCAAATCACGCTCCGAGGTCGCTGGAGTCTCGCTCTCAGTCTCGAGTCGCGGGTCGGAGGGGGAAACCTCGACGGGGCCGAGCGGGGCGGGGGGCAGCAAGGATCGCCACCTACCTGGCTCTGCGAGCTAATGGCAGCTCTGTTCCAGACCATTCCACAGGGTCTGGGCTTGCTGCAAGTTCGGTGGTTTTTTTTGGGGGGGCGCATTCCTCCGGGGCCCAGAAGTCATTTGCAAATCAGTCTCTAGGCTCCCGGGGAGGTTTGCACAACCCTTAGCAAAGGATCAGGAGGGAAACAATGAATGAGTCAGAGTTTCAGAACATGAGCGCCCAGATTATTAAGGGCATCGGTGCAGAACACTCACTCCCCGCAGAACCCGGAGTCAGCTCTCCTCCTCCAAGCCGGCACAAAAGAGACACCGCCGGCTCCAAACAACAGCCAGAGCCGGCGACGGAGAGCGTGCGGGAGCTGGTGGCAGGCAGGCAGGCAGGCCATTAGTTGCACCTCCCCTTCCTCCCTCCCCTCATAAGACTTTCCTACTCCACGGGTCCCTGCCAGGCTGTAAATCGTGGTGGTATAATGACGCCCAGGAGACATCCAAAAACGGGCTGGAGCCGGAGCCGGCGAGGAAATCGCCATCGGCCGCCACACAGCCACCATCCAGGGCAGGAGGGCAAGCACATTCCTCCAGACCTTCCCTCCCACTTCCTCCCCACAGCGTTCATTCCCAGCCCCCCGCCCCTTCGCGCGATTGTACGCATTTTAGTAGAGGGCTGGGGAATTTTTCCTTAAATTTTTTGCTAAATATACCTTACTCAAAAATTGTTGGCTCCGTTTGGGCCTACTGGTGCACATTCAACAGAGAAAGGAGGCCACAAAATCTCTCACCCACACAACACACACAAAAGGAAATCCGAGGATGTTAACTTCCAAACTCCGTTATCCCAGAAAACAACACACGCGAAACAAAGATAACCTCTGGCTTCCACACCTCGAGACTGTCTTCCTGAGATCCACGGTTTTAAAGAGCCTCTGCTTTCTTTTGTCAGAAGGAAGAAAGGTAGGGAGAGAACAGAAGGCCAGTGCATCTTTGCCTTTCTTCATCTTCCACTAAAAATAAGCTATGAAATAAGCCACTTAGGGGGAGAAAAAAAAGACACCCTGCTGTTCTTTGTCTGTTTCCCTCTCCCTCACTACCCCCTACTCCTAAATGCGGTAATCATTCTAGATGCCACAACTACTAAATGAACAAAAGGCACTGCATGGAAAAGGCGTCGGGTCAAGTTAGGCCTCCCTCTTTATCCTCAGTCTCTTAAAAACAGACGTAAGCCTATAACCTGAGAATCTGACATGGATCAGAAACAGCTGGCTCTCTCTCCCCTCAGCCCAATTAAACATTAGGCAGAAATTTGCATTTAGGTGTGACAGGAACTCTCAATTCAAGATAAAAATAACTCAGGTTCTAACACCAAGTCATTTCCTAGTTTCTAAACAAAAATAAAACCCAAAACTGCTCTGTGTAAAATGTACACACAGTCACAGTTACAAGTTTTCCTGTAACCTTACGGAAATCCACATCACTGGTATCACTCACACATTTACAAAACAACCACAGCCACAAGCAACACCTGAAGAGTTGGCTTCACTTGTGCCTGGACGTACATTTGGCACATGACACTTTATTACGTGCTCCTCTCTAATTCCCACTCCCACCCCCCAAAATTCTAAACCTCCCACCCTCCCCCAAAAATTCTAAACCCAAAACTTAGTTTATCTACTGTTCCTAATTTCTAGCCAAGTTTCCCCTGAGCAGGGAGAAAAACACCTTCTCATTTCCGAAAAGATTATGAAAAAATAATCTCTTGCCCAGACAACTTCCCTCCCATCCCCCACCTCCAAGCCATATGCAAAAACTACTTTTTTAAAACTTCAGCAAACCCCATGAGTATTTGACAATAATCACTGATATCTACAGAGGGGTAAAACGACCAAGAAATAAAAAGAAGAAAGAGCGAATTCACCTGAAGAATTTAGCCAAACAACTTGAGTTATATAAACAAAACCCTGCAACAGGGGGAAGTGGAGGGGGTGGGGACGGGCAGGGAGAGAAGCGGGAGGCCGGACTCCTTAAACTGAGTTCCACACACCAACCCCGCCCCCACTTCCCCTCTCCCTGGGGATTAGTGGCGTGCAACAGTGGGCTCCCCTCACCCTCCAAATTACCCCGAAAAAAAAAAAAAAAAAAATTCCTCGGTTTGTCACCGGAACCTTCGCGAATTTCTCCAGCTAGTCCTGAAATCACCAGTCTGGACTCCAAAGCCTCTACCTGGGGGACTCCTCTCAGTCACACTTCACCACTGCAACCGCCGGGGAGCATCAAGTTGAGGGGGTGAAAACACGGGGTGTCCCTTGGCAAGCCCAGGACAAGCACTCCCCCGAGCCCGGCCCTCCCGGGGGCTTCCTAGGCGGCCAGACAGGGCCTGTTTTGTCCGGGAGCTCCTCTTCCTCCCTCCCCCAGCTGTCACATCCTCAACATGGAGGGCGGCTCGCTGGAGGGCCGGGGGTCCTCAGCACACACAACTGGGGGTGGGACACGCTTTGTCAACGCAGGGAGAACCGGGAGTGCCCCTGGACAGGAGCCTCGGGTTGCACACGCAGGGCCCTTTATGCGAAGAGGGGTCCGGGCACGGCTCTCTTCCTAATATAGAAAGGAATTAGGGATAAAGGAGGTCGCACGAGTGACCCCAGTTCCAGCAGCCTGGCGAGTGGAGGGAGCGGGAGCAGGCTGGCCCCGGGGCC